CGCCAGTCAGGGAATTATCCTGGTCAGGGCACATGTGCAGGTTACGGGTTCAATCCTGGTCAGGGTGCATGCTGAGGCAGCTAATCAATGTTTCTCTCTCTCCTTTTCTCTCTAAAATCAATAAAGATGTTTTCAAAATAGGTATGAAGTATTACCTCTCTTCTTTTTTTTTTTCTAATTGTAACACTTAATTTTTGTAGAATGAGACATTGCAGCACTGGAGATGAGTGCTCATTCTCTATGTGTTGTTTTACTTAAGTGAGGTCTATTTTTCCTAAGAAGGTCCTTGGGGAAGGCAATGTTTATCTCACAGTACTTAGAGAAATTAAGGCCAGGTTTTATTTACACCCTATGATAACCATTCACAGTTCAGCAAAGTCTCACTTTTCCTTAAAAGTTGTCCTTTCTCCTCCACCCTTGACTTTGGAGGGATAAGAGTCTTCAAGAAGGTCAAAGTTGAAAAGTTGAAGGAAGTGGTTGAGAGAGGTAGGAACCTCTTAATAAATTAAGGTATTGAAAAATCAACTTTTAAAGAGAACTTCTTCTGAAAATAGGATGGAGAGACAGGAAATCTGCTTTTTACTTGACACTTGGGACCTAACTTATTTTATTTCTTTAAAAAAAAAAAAATTCCAGAGAAAAGAAATTCCACGGACTATTAGCTAAAAGCCCCAAACTCTTATTTTATTATTTGTACATGTTGATGTGTTTATGGATTCACAGAGAATGTTTAAATAGAGTTAGTTACTATAGTCAGCTGACAGGAAGGAGGACATGTGGGGTGGGGTTAGGTCAAGCCATAGGAAATTCCAGAGAGTCTTAAAGTGTCTTGTCTTTTCTTAACAGATTTTGATGATTAAGGCTCCTTCAAACATCTGAATAAAAAGAGCTGAAATTCGATAAAATATGTTACAGAAGAGTGTTTCAGTAACACAATTCCTGTTTTTTTCTTTCTGTGTTCCTCTGCTTCCTTGAGAAATATTGGAGGAAACCCCTCCTTCTTCCTGTACTTCAGATTGTCACTTGTAAAATGAGGCTCATAAAATTCATAGTAAATGCATTTGAGAAGTTGTTATTCTGGATATTTGAGTAGTTTGGAGGTGAAAAGGTACTTAGAAAGTGCTTACTGCTTCACCTGGAATCTCATTAAAAGCAGTCTCAGATCTGTATTCCTCCTCAGAACCAGTGTCAGTGTAACTTTGATTTTCAGAGACATTTCTATTTTTCTCTAAGAATTAGCTTTGCACAGTCACTTTTTTAGTACTTGAAAAGAGGTAATATAGAGTATTGATATGCTATGATCCAGAGGCTTTTCTTTTCCCTAAAGGCTTTTTATTTAATCCAAAGGTTTAAATGAAAAACTAGCAAAGATTGAAAATGTTATGCATTTAAAACCAAAGAGACGCTCTGCCCTGGCAGGGCATGTGCACTAGTGCTGAATGGTCTTGAACCCAGGAGCACCAGTGCAGGGCCTTCCCACGTGACTGTAAGTACAGACAGAACTGAACACTCAGCAGATTACAAATGTAACACATACTCTTTGATTTTTTTATTGACTTCAGAGGAAGGGAGGAGAGAGAGATAGGAACATTAATGATGAGAGAGAACCATTGATTGGCTGCCTCCTGCACATACCCTACTTTGAATTGAGTCTGTAACCTGGGTATGTACCTTGACTGGGAATCAAACCGTGATTTCCTGATCCTTAGGTCAATGATCAACCATGCCAGCTGGGCCACATACTCTTTGAATTGTACTGAAACTTTATCTTGACAGGATGTAAGTATTGGAAATATTGCTCTAATGTTAAGAATGCACAACTTTGCCGGGACCAGTTTGGCTCAGTGGATAGAGCGTCGACCTGCGGACTGAAAGGTCCCAGGTTCGATTCCGGTCAAGGGCATGTACCTTGGTTGCAGGCACATTCCCAGTAGGGAGTGTGCAGGAGGCAGCTGATCAATGTGTCTCTCTCATCGATGTGTGTCTCTCATCAATGTTTTTAACTCTCCTTCCCTCTCTCTCTTCCTCTCTGTAAAAAAATCAATAAAATATATTTAAAAAAAGAAAAAAGAAAAGAATGCAGAACTTGTTCACTTTCAGTTTTTTAAAGAGTGTATTTTCAGGTTTCCTCTCTTTGAGCCCTGAAAATTCTAATTTTTATAGTGATCATCTTATAGTGTAGCAGCATTTGGAATAAATCTTTGGAATTTCCTTTACTTTAATTATCTGCAAATGAGAAATGTTTTAAAAACAGAAAAAAAAAATGTATGGGAGGGTATCCTGCCAAATTTATCTTTTCCCTTTAGCAAGTGATCTTCATTTCCAGATTGGGGGCTGCTCCTGTAGCAACAGTAGGTTGCATCATATGCCTTATGTGGATGTGATTAAATATGCAGCTGACCCGACTATAATATGGTAAAGTTAGAGTTGCTACAGCTTATCTTGAATTTATTAAAAATAGATTCAGGGAACATTTGAGATTTTGCTCTCAGGCATATGTTATCTGTTTTGGCTCAAACAAACTTATAAAAATAAAAGTAAAATATATTCAACTAGCCCAGCCAGTATGGCTCAGTGGTTGAGCGTTGACCTATGAATCAGGATGTCACTGTTTAATTCCCAGTCAGAGCACTTGCCTGGATTGCAGGCTTCGTCCCCAGAAGGGGGTGTGCAGGAGGCAGCAGATCAGTGAATCTCATCATTGATGTTTCTATCTCCCTCTCCCTTCTTCTCTGAAGTCAATATTTTTATTTTTAGCCAAAGCTGGTTTGGCTCAGTGGTGGAGCGTCGGTCTGCGGACTGAAGGGTCCCAGATTCGTTTCTGGTCAAGGGCATGTACATTGGTTGCGGGCACATCCCCGGTAGGGGGTGTGCAAGAGGCAGCTGGCCGATGTTTCTCGCTCATCGACGTTTCTAACTCTCTATCTCTCTCTCTTCCTCTCTGTTAAAAATCAATAAAATATGAGCGAGAATCATCGGCCAGCTGCCTCTTGCACACCCCCTACCGGGGATGTGCCCGCAACCAATGTACATGCCCTTGACCGGAATCGAACCTGGGACCCTTCAGTCTGCAGACCGACGCTCTACCACTGAGCCAAACCGGCTTCGGCTATTTTTAAAAAAAGATTCAACAAATAATGTAATAGCAAAGCTTATTTGAGGTAAATTATATTAATTGTATGTAATTGACTTCTGAAGTGTGGGGAGATATGGGGAGACTTAAAATAGGCAAGAGTTCAGTCTTCAACTTTATTGCTTAAATTGAGTTGATTAATCCATTGAACTTAGAGGTTTAATAGCTATTTACTAATGTTGAATTCAAAAGGGTACTAAGTTTGATCTGTTATACTGGATTTCAGTTATCTTTTCTACTTCATGTTATCTTGAGATGTAAATGATAGGATGGAGTTGAAGGCTCTCATTACAATCTGAATGAACATGACATGCTGTGCACTATGGAAACATTCCGTGACTAAGTGCTTTTCTATTGAGTCACTCTTCGAGGCTTAAAAATTATAATTTTTAATTTTAATTAGAGATCAACCTTAGATAGGAGAGATAGAAATATAGTGATTTACAGGAATCACAAAATGCTTTACTAAGAAAAAAGATATGGATCGTTCACTTTTCTATTTAAAAAAAAAAAGGCATAGTCTCTTGCCTTCAATAAGCTTCCAGTCCAGTAGAGGAACACAGAGCAGTTTGATAAGCATTGTCATGGAAGTGTAACCAAGTACTTTGGGTACAGAGGAAGAACAACTTAGATTTATTCAGAACAGACTTCATAGAGGGAAAGTTGCTTAGTTTGCAGAATCTTGAAGGAACAAGCATTTGCTAGACAACAGAAGGATAAAACGGTAATCCAGATAGAGGAAACTAATTTACAATATCATGGGCCTCACAGCAGTTTGCTTTGCATGGATGTTTTCTCTCTCATCACTGATGTTTTCTTTCTCTCTCCCTCTCCCTCTCCCTCTCCCTCTCCCTCTCCCTCTCCCTCTCCCTCTCCCTCTCCCTCTCCCTCTCCCTCTCCCTCTCCCTCTCCCTCTCCCTCTCCCTCTCCCTCTCCCTCTCCCTCTCCTTCTCCCTCTCCTCCCTTCTCCCTTCTCCCTTCTCCTTCCCTCCTTCCCTCCCTTCTTTCCTCCCTCCTTCCCTTCTTCTCTGATATCAATAAAAGTATATATATATATATTTTTTTTTAAATATATTTTTATTGATTTTGTACAGAGAGGAAGGGAGAGAGATAGAGAGTTAGAAACATCGATGAGAGAGAGTCATCGATCAGTTGCCTCTTGCACACCCCCTACTGGGGATATGCCCGCAACCAAGGTACATGCCCTTGACCGGAATCGAACCCGGGACCTTTCAGTCCCTAAGTCGACGCTCTATCCATTGAGCCAAACCGGTTTTGGCTATATATATATATATATAATTTTTTTAAATTTAAACAGGAGAATAACATAAATTATATTTGGGGATAATTGCTTTGTATTTCTTGGGATAATGGCAGCATCGTAGAGACTTGATTGGAAGGTAGAAGAACCAGTTAGAAAGGTAATCAGTAGTCCATCCACTGCAGCAGCAGCAGCAGCAGCAGCAGCAGCAGCAGAGATAAAGTAGGACATAGAAGGGAAATAGCAGATACCGCTGTCAAAACTTGGCACTTTGGAGACATGTCATTGTCATCTGGGACACGAAGGTTCCCCTCTATGGTGTTTAAATTACAAGGCTTTCTGGTTAAGCTGGTTAGGTACTGATCGTTAGCAGAGAGCATAACCTTGATAGTGTGCACTTATTTTTCCCTGGGCACTTGTGACCATGTAGTGCTTGATACTGATAATATGGAAAATATATTCTGTGGAATATAAAAACAAATATAAAATTTAATTTCTTCTGGATTTTTATTTATAAAGGAGATTTGCAGTCCTCCTTTTTGAACACTGCATCAAGATTTCCCATCTTCTATCAAAATGTATTGCTTGGTTTTGTTTTCCAAACAGATTCCTCGGACCCAAAGCCGAAGTGCAGGTGGAAAGAGGATCTCTGAAAACAGCTATTCTCTGGATGATTTGGAAATAGGGCCAGGTAAGCAGAGAGTTCCATGTGTATGACGTTCTCCGGGAAGTACTCATTAGTAAACAGTATATTTTGGCCTCAGCACCAATGCTTTTGAAGGAAGAGTGGTACAAATTAAATGGAAGCCTATCAGTTAGATACTGTTATTGGAGAGATGCATTGATTGTCTTTCTCCAGTGCTAGTGGGAGTGAGGTATCCCTTTCCCCATTGGGGACTGCATACTTATCGAGAAAAAGAATTTTCTGAGCCTTGCATGGGAGGATGAGTGACTTTTATTTGCATGTAATTATATCCTTGGGTTTTCAGAGTTCCATTTCCTTAATCCAGTCGTGCAGCTGGGGGTTCAGTAGAACTAAAAGCAAAGCCAGTGTCCCAAGTTTCCTTTCCATGGTGGAATCAGGTGGGGATTAGCATAGGCTAGTTGCAGTGCATCAGTCCATGGTGTGGGGTCTACATGCCACGGCCATGTGGGCGAATGCAGGAGAGTGAGAGCCCCTCCGCAAGGCAGGAGTTCAATACGAGCAAGCAAGAGGCAAGAGTGCGAACCAAGCCTGGCCGGCAAGGGCTGGACAGTGATTGACCCTGGGAAGCAGGAGGTCACAGGTTCCTGGTTGGGCACATGCCCAAGCTGTGGGCTTGATCCCCAGTGTTGGGCATGCCAGAGGCAGCTGATCAATGACACTTCCTTCATTAATGTTTCTCTCTCTCTCGCCCTCTCCCTTCCTCTCTGAAATCAATAAAAATATATTTAAAAAATAAAAAAGGAGTGTAAAGCAAGACAGTGACCTCCTTTGTTTAGCAGCTTAGGTACCTCAAGTCTTCCCAGGCTTGCAGTGGCTACAAGTCTGGCCAATGATCTGTTCCCAAGTGTGACTGACAGGCAAGAACCTTTCCTTTATCACCCAGACTCAACTGGGCATGCATTTAAACTGCAGCTTCCTAGAAAACTGTACAAATTGCTACAATATTTGGCCTTCCCTTCGTTCCGTTCCTGCTAATTGATAACTAGGTTAAATTACAACGGCATCGATACAAGCCATTCCCAAATGTCATTGCTCTCCACAAACAGCTTCTCTGTATTTTTTAATCCATCCTTGTTAGTGGTAACCTATGGTAAATATCTGGTACCTCTGCAAGATTCCAAGGAAACTGCTACAGAAAATTTTGGCTCCATGGTCATTTGAGACTTGAGGGGCTTTCATGGATGGGCAGTATTAAAATCGGTTATCCTGACCCCTGGCCAGAGAGCTCAGTTGGTTAGAGCATTGTCCTCATACACCAAGGTTGTGGGGTTTGATCCCCACTCAGGGCACATACAAGAATCAACCTACGAATGGATAAATAAAAGTAGAATAGCAAGTTGGTGTTTCTCTCTTTCTCTTTTTTCCCCTATAAAGTCAATAATAATTTTTAAAAGATGTATTTAAAGATGGGTTATCTGTGCTACCAGTGGTAACAAAACACCTTAAGGTTGGAATTATGTTTTGAAGGGCATATAAAGGAAAATAAAAGAAATTTATTCCATTACATTACAATAGCCCCAAATTGAGAATCTTGAAACCACTAAAGTCATATTTTATCTTCTAATAAAGCATCTTTTTGCATACTTCCAGGTCAAGTGTCAACTTCTGTATTCAATTCGGAGAAAAGTGAGACTAGGCGAAATCTGGAGATCCCACGCCTGTCAGAAACCTCCATAAAGGATCGAATGGCCAAGTACCAGGCAGCTGTGTCCAAACAAAGCAGTTCCACCAACTACACCGTATGTGTTCGGCATCATTCATTCATTCATTCATTCATCCAACAAATGGTCACTGAGCACAGGAACTAGAAATGTCACCAGACCCTGACTTGAAAGCCCTGGCTCCTTCCCTCGTCCTCCCAGTCCCCATTCCCTTTTCACAGAGATCCTTCCCTAGCTTTATTTCCATCCCTACCATGTTCTGTCGTATTTTGCTTTCCTAGGCCTCATTCCTATAACAGTCATTTTTTGTATGTTACCATTCAGTAATGTCATAGAGTTTTTCTGTCTCTTCTGCTTAATCTTGTTGTTAAAGAGGTGGTATTTTATTAGTTATTACAGAAACATCTATTTTTGTTTATGTTTTTGATTAAAAAAAGGGCAAATAATGGAGAGAAATATCAGATATATTTGACATTAATATGGGTGGGAGTTTTTGCAAATTTGTATTGATATATAATTCATATGACATAAAAATCACCATTTTAAAGTATAATAGCTCAGTAATTTTTAGTATATTCACAAGGTTGTGCAACCATCCCCACTGTCTAATTCCAAAACATTTCCATCATCCCAAAAAGAAACCCCATGCCTATGCAATCACTTTCAATTCCCCCAGCAGCCACTAATTCACTTTCTGTCTTTATGGACTTGCCTATTCCAATATCCTATCTAATAAAAGAGTAATATGCAAATTGACCATCATTCCAAGACACAAGGTGGCAGTTGTGGGCAGTTAGGAATCACCAGACCTGCAGGGAAGGGCAATTAGGGGTGACTAGGCCAGCAGGAGAGGGCAGCTAGGGGTGACCAGGCCAGCAGGGGAGGGCAGTTGGGGGTAACCAGGCCTGCAGAGAAAGACAGTTGGGGGGACCAGGCCTGCAGGGGAGGGCAGTTGGGGAGAGGGGGCCAGGCCAGCAGGGGAGGGTAATTAGAGGTGACCCAGCCAGCAGGGGAGGATAGTTAGGGGCAATCGGGCCAGCCAGGGAGCAGTTAGACATCAATCAGACTGGCAGGGGAGTGGTTAGGGGGTGATCAGGCTGGCAGGCAGAAACAGGCGAGCAATTGGGAGTTAGCAGTCCTGGATTGTGAGAGGGATGTCCAAACAGGTGGTTGGACATCCCTCAAGGGGTCCCAGATTGGAGAGGGTTGCAGGCTGGGCTGAGGGACACCTCACCTCACTGTGCGTGAATTTTGTGCACTGGGCCTCTAGTTTCTTATAAATGAAATTGTATAATATATAGCCTACTTAATCTTTACTCTTTGTGATGTGATGGTTTTCTAAAAAAAAATTAGAATAGTGGATGAGAAAAGGAGAGAGAAATGACAAGATAATGTACTCAGTAAGAACAAAGAAATTGGTCTTCTAAATAAATTGGAGGGTTTTTCTATTTTATACTTACCTAGGCTTAACTGGCAGGATGACACTATGGAACTGCTTAATTGAAGTTGCCTTTTAAATGCTATTTATTCATATTACACACGTATATATACACATGTACACATATTTATCTTTCAAATATTTGTTCCTTCTAAGATTTCAAATTACAATACATTAATCTCTTTTTTTATTATTATATTTTATTTCAGAGAAGAAGGGAGAGGGAGAAGGAGAAATAGAAACATCAATGATGAGAGAGAATCATTGATCAGTTGCTTCCTGCACTCTCCCTACTGGGGATCGAGTCTGAAACCTGGAATCAAACCCCCGGACCCAACAGTCCGCAAGCCTACGCTCTATCCACTGAGCCAAACTGGCAAGGACCATTAATTTCTTAATGTCCTATTTTTTAAACAAAGTTAGAAGACTAGTATTGAATTTTATTTGTTCCCATCCAGACTGAAACTGCCTATTAGAAATTGTAATGTGTATTTCAGGAGTTGAGCCTTCTTTTTCCCATATTACTAAGTATGCATTCTCAGGTAGTATTTATTGGTGGGCTAAGTCTCAGGGCGATGAATGATTTCATCTTTATTTTTCACTGTAATTTTAAGAAGAGATGTGTGTAAATCAACAGTGAGGGTGAAAAGTGAGCAAACTTAGACTTCACTTAGAAGGCAGGTCAGGAGATACAGCAAATGGGTGATCTGTGCAGCTCTGTTCTCTCCTGTTGCAGGATTTTGCTGCTTCTCAGTGCCCTGCTGCTATAAACATTCCGACCAAGTGACTCCCTAAGTGGAAAAACCTGTTCAGTGACCTTTTTAAAAAAACTCCTAATAGAGCTTCTGCATTGCAGTCTCCGTCTCTGAAACTTTTAAGCATTGAAATGCTTTAGGAATTCTTGTAAAAAGCACATTTTATCTCATCCCCAAAGAATTTCTCAGGCCCCCTACAGGGGATGGTTGTAACAGGCACATGCTCTTTGACCGTGATTCTGGAGGCTGGGCTCTGAGATGGGGGCAGGAATGAGTGGTTGGACTGTTGTACTATTGTCTTCTGCAGTGCTGGCTGCCAGCTCCACTCTATTGATGCACCTCCAAAATGTGTGCCTTAATTTGGAATTCCACACCTGATTAAGACAGTCACACTCACACTCCCTTCCATTGGCCCTGTGGCCATAATTATGTTTTCTCCCCATGCTTACAGAATCACAGAGAACAAAAAGGTACTATGTTTCTAGCAGACTAATGATAGGAAATGTTCATAGTTACTTATCTCTATATTAATTTTGGGTCTAATATATAAAGTTAATTTTAATAGTTTCTCCTACATGTTCTTTGCAAGGAAAAAAAAAAGTTGATTTTGCTTATTCCTATGATAGTATTTATGCCAGCTTGATATGTTGAGGCTCTGTCATGAGAAGTAGAATAAGGTGTGTCTTTGTACTAATGTATGAATTTTATGCAAAAAAAACCCCACCATGTTTTTTGAAAGTCTCACTAAAAAAAGGTTGTTTACTAGTTATCATTAAATATAATTTGTTTTCATATGTATACATCATCCCTGTCTCTCTTTCCAGGCCGGGCATATATATGTGTATGGTCAGTATATTTCCTTAATTATTGGCACTTGGCATCTCCCTTCCCTGCTCCAGAATGGTCTTTTCTGATAAAACTCACAAGCTTTGCATTCCCACAAGCTCTGCTGCTAGAGGAGTGAATCACAAGAACATTGTATGCTGGGGGCAGTCTGTGTGTGTCTGTGTTGATGTGCACATTTTCTAATGAGCATCCGGTTGTAGACTAGTGTACAAATACTTAACTCTGAGGTATGTGTCCACAAAGCTGCTTTTGTCGTTTCACAAGTCAGTGGGTTTTGCTTGTGAGATTTAGGGGGTTGGTTTGATCCGAAGCCTCTTAAAATAAAATTTATTTTTCACATTCCAAGTTTACTTAATACGTGTGCCATGAAGAGAATAGTGAGAATTTATTTCATTTTATCATTTTGAGAATTTAAAAAAAAAATCACAGACTGTTTTTATTTTCTAGAATGAATTGAGAGCCAATGGCAGTGAAATCAAAATTCATAAGTTGGAACAAAAGGAGAACGTGCCCCCAGGTCCTGAGGTCTGTATCTCCCATCAAGATGGAGAAAAGGTGGGTTTAAAAGTCTAATGTCCAGTTGCCAAAGAAGCATGTGTTCTAAATTAGATGCTTAAAATTAGAAACCACTCTAACTCTTGGCTGTAGAGTGTCTGGGAATTTGGTAACAGCTGCCAAGACAGATTGTTGTTTTTGCAGGTCACATAATTTTGGTTGGGAAGCTCTGCAACTTATAGCTGACCAAATAATGAACCTTCATTGGAAAATTCTTTTGCTCAGCAAATGCTTAGAGGGCATAGAGCTAAAGTGATTTTTAAAAATCTGCTTTGATTAGAAATATCTTCAAAGTATTTGTGTATTATCACTCATTTTATGCAATAAAATTTCATTCTTCCACTTAGTATTTTGAAAGGTGGGCACTATGCTAAGCATGGGAAATGCTAAATATGAACATACCATTCTATGTGGTCTTTATCTGCAAGGAAGCTAACAATAGAAGGGAGATGAGTAACAGGTTGGCCATCATAAGGCAGTGTGACCTCTGTCATAAGAGGGCTCTTCAGGGCAGTGGAAGCTGAGACTAAGGACACTTGCCCTAACTTCCTCAGGAAGGTCATGTCTGAGTCAAGTCCTGAAAAACTGTGTGGAAATAGGCAAAGTGAATAAGGAGAAGTTTGAGTAAAGAAAGAGAAGGGTAGTCCAGACATAACAGAGGTTGGAAATTGGAGATCTAAACTAAGATGACTTGGCTGAGCAGGGGAAGTACATACAGGCCATGATGAGAGACAGGTGGAGGGAGAGGGCCAGAGTGGGTCTTGAAGAACTTTGTATGCTATCCTGAAGAGTATGGGATGTAGCCCTATAGTGGTGGGAAGCCAGTGTAAGATTTTAAGCAAATTAGATCTGTATGTTATGCATTTATTGTTAGATGAATGGCTTAGTTGGAATAACTAACAATATGACTATCAGGTGAATTTATCATTTTCTTTTCCAGTCCATTATCCAATCTCTTTTACCTTTTGGTCAATATTATAATGAAATGTTAAGTTAGTTAAGGAGAAAGATCTTTCAAATCTATTACAATAATTAATCTTAGGAGAAAAACTATTGTTTCTATTACACATATTGACACCTCGAAGTCATTCTTCCAAAAGGTAAAGATATCATTAAAATAGTTCTCAAACTCATTTTACTCTAACAGACTTTATTTTTTAAATATATTTTTATTGATTTCAGAGAGGGAGAGTGAGAAAGATAGAAACATCAATGATGAGAGCAAATCATTGATCAGCTGCCTCCTGCAGGCCTCCCACTGGGGATAGAGCCCACAACCTGTGCATGTGCCCTGACTGGAAATGGTACATAGGTCAATACTCAACCACTAAGCCATATCGGATGGGCCCTCTAAAGTTTGCTGTATTGACAGAACACTGACAGGAACTCATGAAATACACTACACACTTGGTTGGACCAAAGTAGCCCCACAGAAAAATGATCTCAGATTAATGGCTACACAAGTTGAATCATAAAATAGAACAGGAAAAATAAATTTAGAAAAATTAATCACTTTATTTTACAAAAAATCACAAATATATGTTGAAATAATAAGACAAAATACTTGGCAGTAATGTCTTTCACAATCATAAAATTACCAAATAAATTACATACATCCTTGCAACAGTGAGCTCAGGCATGAGTCACATGTCCTGGAGCAAGTGAGTTCTCTCCTAAGGCTGCCTGGGTTTCTCATTTTTTTAAGTGGAAGATTATGTCTTAATAATAACAAAGTAGATATGTTTGGAATTTTTTCTTATGGCTTATAAAAAAAAGATATTTAAAGGAAAAATATTCCCAGCATGAAATCCCCAGTGTACCCTAGCAGCATAGTTTGAGAAATGATCCTCTGGAAAACAATACATGGATTGTCCCTATATCTAATTTCATGTTTTCTTCTTGATTGGATTCATGCTTGTTTGAAACTGGAACTGAGCTGAACTAGAGGATCAGAACATTTTAATTATAATCTAAAAGAGCTTCAGTGCAACTGAATCACGAATTGGGGAGTGGGTGGGAAGAAAGGTGTAAAGATAGGGCTTCGTCTTCAAGCACACACTGTGGGTTCATCAACGCTTGGCTGCCTTAAGATTCAGAACATTTTTCAGAGTCTCAGCTATCCTTTTGGTTGTTTGCCTAATTTTGGTTAACCAGTACCTAAGAACTATTTGAACTTTGATTGGTTACAAAAGGACATTAGTGCGAGGCAAACTTGCCTCAAATAGAATATTTTGTAAGGGTATTGTTCTTCCCTTTCTTGTCCTATGAATGAATTTGTACTTTCCTTTAATGAAATGTTTGAGCAAAATCTCACGTGCTCTCTCCTGGCTGTTCCTGCAGTGAAGTCATCTGGTTGGACATGTACAATGATGTCATGATTGGCATTAGCTTTACCTTTTAGGTTCAAGGTGAGCAAATTAGAGGAGAAAAGAACATCCTGGGATAGATACACCCCCTAATTAGCAAGAATTGAAGAGCTTTTTATGGCCATGCATGACTTTCAGAAATTTTATTTCATATCATTAAATGAAATAATGCATGCAAGGTGATCATTTCAGTGAGCCTCGTAAACACTCAGTAAATATTGGTTGTTATTACACTGGTTCACTTTATACCATGTCAGAATCCCTCTAATGAAAAGAGAGTAGTGGGGAAGGACCAACCATGCTGAAATTCAGGTGCAGTCAGGCAACAATTTAATGTCCAATATTTTATCATCATAAATGTATTCAGTACATTAGGCAGCCTGGTATAAACTCTCAGCATCGCACATAAAGTCCCTGACATCCGAGTAAAAGAATTATTACAGGTAGAGCCCATACTCGGTCTCTACTGACCCTCATTATTTTGAGTGTGGAGGAAGACACCAGGAAGGCTAGGGGCCAGGAGAAAGGACAGAGAAAGCTAGGAGAAAGTTCTTCATTTAACTTTGCTGGTTTCTGAGGGGAAATATGCACCTACACATAAGATCTGTCATCTTGTTAAACACTGCTATTTTGAGACTGGGATTAAACAGGGAAACTATAACCTTGAAGGTAATAAATACCAGAGGTTGGTTTTAGATACATTTGTTGTACAGCTATCAGAAAGTCTTCTGTGCTGACAAGCTGGTTTCAGCAGCATGTATTTGGTTGGGAAGTAAGGAATTGGGAAAATTAAAGAATAATAATAGTTTCTATGTGTAAAGACTTTATTTTGCTTTGGAGTGAGTTGTGGTTTATGGCGAGGAGCTTTGCTCTCCATGATAGAGGGTTTGTTTGCCACCGCTCCCGCTGTCCTCTCCCCCTAATCCCCTCCCCGCCACTCCAACCCGGCCCTTTTTGTTTTTTGAGAATTGAAAGATATGGTTTAGAAGTTCTTTCATAAAGACAGATGATGCAGAATTTTGGCAGTGGAGTGCAGTCTGCTTCCGGCCTTACTCTGTAATTGAGAGGCATGTTAATATCCTCATAAAAGACGTTTTGCTGCCTGTTTAAATGCTCAGCTGTTCAGGGGCCCCGTTATTTCCCCCAGGCAGCTGGTGACTGACTGGAGTCAGCAGGTTTCTATGGCACTAACAGCAGCTTGTTCATTTATTTTTAATGTGATTCTTAATCTCACCCCTCTTTTTTTTTTTTTTTTTTTTTTTTTTTTGTAGGTTTCTACAACTGAGAATAGCCTGGCAGTCCGTTCCACCCCTGCTGAAGTTGACTACCGTAAGCATTCATTCTTAGATCTGGAGGGTGTCCCCATTGCTGTCAGTGCTGAGAGAGTAACATTAAATTCAGCCGATCAGATCTTTCCCTTGGTTTTAAGGAGTGATGCTTGAATACCCTTCACACATTTTATGGCTAAGGGAGAAGTTAAATTCAACTATATATTACTAACTTGGGGCAAACTGAACACTTTTAAAAAATATGGGAGAGGGTAGAGAGAAAGAAACATCAATGATAAAGAAACATGGATTGCTGCCTCCTGCAAGCCCCATACTGGGCATCAGCCAGCAACCCAGGCATGTGCCCTAACCAGGAACAGAACCAGTGACCAGTCTTGTTTCATGGGTTGACACTCAACCACTGAGCCACACCAGCCGGGCAAAAATCTTTTCAGATTTAAAGCTGTAAAAACTAATTTTGAAGTTTCATTTACAATATATATAACATTTTTTTTTTTATTTCAGAGAGGAAGAGAGAGGGAAAGAGAGACAGAAGCTGCCTCCTGCATGCCCCACTCTGAGGATCGATCGATCCTGCAAACTGGGCATGTGCTGAGACCTCCTGGTTCATAGGTTGATGTTAAACCACTGAGCCACAATAGCTGGGCTGAAGTTTCATTTTAATAAAAGTTTAGCCAAAGATTTTATTCATTTACAGGGATAAAGAATTAATATTTGAGTAACACATTAAATATCTTTCTCTACTTATCTAAATATGTACCATGGTCTACTCAGTCTAGACAGAGTCTAGAGATTTTCCTGTTTTGTTAAATTTCATCACCTTTTTATCCTATTTTGGAGTGATTTTGAGTTTCACTTTGCCCAAAGATAAAAAAAAAATTTAGTTTTCTCTTTACTATATCCACTTTGACTCTGATCTGCAGTATTATATCTACACTAATAAAAGAGAAACATGCAAATTAACCATCACTCCACTATACCCACCAGCCAATCAGGATGGAATATGCAAATTATAAGGACAAAGATAGCGGCCACCCAGCTGCTCCAAGCGCAGAGTGGCAAGGCGCAGGGTGGCGGGGCCCAGAGTGGCGGGGCGGGGGCAGGACAGGAAACCTGCTATGTGAGGGAGGGCAGGTGGTGGGGGTGGGTGAAGGGATCTACAGGAGGGCACTCCAGCTGCAGCAAAGATGAAGACTACAGACTCCAGCTGGAGTTTGCAGTGAAGCAGCGAAGACGAAAATAGCAGACTCTGGCTGGAGGGAGGGCCTGGGTCCCCAGTACTGAAGGAAACTGGTGCTGGAAGCCCAGGGAAGGAAGGCCTATTGCATGAATCTTTTCGTGCAGCAGGCCTCTAGTATATACATATTTGGATTTCTACCTTATCCCTGGTTAGTTTATTAGGCACTTAAAAACTCAGCAACTAAAGTAGAGCTAAACAAATCTCTTGTAAACCCTACCTTATAATTTTAGAGAGAAACTTTTGCTGCTTGAATCCAAGAATATTTCTTTTGCAATCATTTCGCTTGTATAGAAATTTTTCTGGTCCTGGCGAGTGTGATCAGTTGGTTGGGTGTTGGCCCGTGCACCGTAAAGGTTGCATTTTGACTCAGTCAGGGCACATGCCCACGTTGTTGGCTCGATCCCTGGTCAACGGCATATAGGAAGCAGCTGATCAATAGTTAGCTCTCACATAAATGCTCCTCTCTTTCCCTCTCCCTTCCTCTTTCTCTAAAAATTAATTTAAAATATTAAAAAAATATTTTTTCTTAGTTTTGACTAGGTTTGCAAAACATTTTTAAAAAAAAATGATCCTTAATCTTTTAGTGCTTTGTTGACTTAACTCTATAAGAAATTATTCTATGTTTCCTTAGTAGCTGTGTAAATGGCTTTTCTGTACCTCTTCTTAGTTTTCCACATTATGAATGTATTGGCAGGAAGTTAAGTTATGCAGGTGACACGTCAGTGAATATGAATAAAATTTCATGGAGCCTTTTTCCATAATCTTTAGCCATGAATATCTGCTATAGGACTAACCAAAAAGATAGTGTCAAATCTCTCTCTCTCATACACGTTTTGAAATTTCTGCTCTCAAGCATCCCAGAAGGAATTAGAGGGAATGGTAACTACTAAAAAGTCATCAAAGTCTATAAATAGCCTTTAAAAATGACAGAAGTGCCCTGAGGTTTAGCACCCTGTCCATCTCAAGCCACTAAGTTGTTTTGAGCATCATCCCCTGCACTGAAAGATCACCAGTTCAATTCTGTGTCAGGGCATATGCCAGCATGGTGGGCTTGATCTCCGGTAGAGGGTGTGCCCCCAGGGGCAGCTGATCAAAGTCTTGCTCTCACATTGATGTTTCTCTCTCTCCCTCTCCCTCACTTTCTATCTAAAATATAAATATTTATTTATGTATAAATATATAGAGAAAAATATATACACTGAATGGCCAGATTATTATGATCTCTGAAAGCATAATAATCTGGCCACTCAGTGTATATCCTATATAATAAAAGGCTAATATGCAAATTGTCCCCTTGACCAGGCTGGCCGGACCCCACCTATGCACGAATTCATGCACCGGGCCTCTACTATTAATATATATATATATACACACACACACACACACATACACGCGCACACACACACACACACACACACACACACACACATACACTGAGTGGCTAGATTATTATGCATTCAGAGATCATAATAATCTGGCCACTCAGTGTATATTAAATATATATATGTCTTTTTTTAAATGACCAAAGCTACAGGGCAGAAAGTTCCTTATATAGGGTGGTTTGGATTCTGGCTGTTTATGACAGAGGGTGAGAAAACCTCCTGGCTGAGAACCTGATTTGTGAGAGACCCTAAGACATAGCTTTTAGCATTAGAATATTCCATAAAGAAAAGCAGTGTTTTTCCTGGTGTTGAAAGGACCTGTTATAGTGAAGATCCTTTCTTTGCTTTGGGAAGGAACCTTTTCTCTGACTTTCCATGAGGTTTAAAAAATGTCTTCCTTTTGTAACTCAAGCAGGTAACTCCCAGGTTAAGAGTGAGGTCCAGCAGCTTGTCCATCCCAAGCCACTAAGTCCAGATGCCAGAGCCTCCAGCCTTTCTGAGAGTTCTCCTCCCAAAGCAGTGAAGGTATGATGACAATTTCTCTGTGAGCCTTTGGCATTGGTTTACTAGTAGAGTTCATTGCACCTCTATCATTATGTTCATTATAACCTGTTTTTACTTTCCAGGGGATAAAAATACCAAATAAGGATACACTTAAGGCCAGTCACTTTTCCTGGAAGTCTTGTTACTTCTGCTCAGATGTTTGGGTCAGGAGAGGGGAGGCTCACTAGAGCACTCAGTTTGAAATCTGGAAAACTCATGAAAGTTTTAAGAAAACCTGAAGTTAAAGAAAATAAACTGATGTTTTAAAAGTCCAAGTTCATTAATCTGTGAATGGGTAAAAGCCCACAAATGGAAAATCTGAGAAATCCATTAAACTAAAATCAGCCCATTGGACAGGAATGTGCAATGTCAACTTCAAAGAAGTGGCTCCCTGGTTTGGGGAACTTGACCATCACATGATTAGTGGTCAGCATATTTAAAGAAAGAATGTGTACATTCCAGAGGGGGTTGGCTAGCCCATTTGCTGTAAAAAAAAAATTTTTTTTTAAAAAAAGGACATTCAAGTAACACTTATGTTTTGATATACTCTTATATGCAAAAGAATGTACAAAATTTTTGTACTTCAAGAAAATTTTACTTGGCTATTCAACCTATGATCTCTTTTTACTCATCAATTAAAAAACAAACAAACATCTCTTTCTACAAACAAATATATCTTATATAATAAAGAGCTAATATGCAAATGGTCATCATGCCCTCACGCCTTCACGGCTCAGACACTAGACACTGGGGAGAGAGGAATGGGGACAGGCTGTGGCCCAGGAGAGGGACAAGCCACCCACCCCGCGGTCCCAGGCACCAGTGGCTGTGGCTGCAGCCCTGAAGGGGGACAATCTGTACACCCACAGTCCTGGGCTCCTATGGCTGTGGCCCAGGTGAACCCATCCGCCCATGGTTCCCTGTGGCTGTGACCAGCCCAGATGAAGCCAGCCCAGGTCCTGGGTGCCTGCTGCTGGCCAGAGGGAGAGAATCCTGGGTCCTCGGTGTGTGCGAAGCAGAGGCTGTTAGGGGCGTTTGGGCTAGCAGGGGAGCAGTTAGGAGCTATCAGGCCAATAGGAGAGCAGTTAAGGGTGATCAGGCAGGCAGGCAGAAGTAGTTAGGGTGATTAGGGGCAATTTGGACAGGCAAAGTGGTTAGGGGCAATCAGGCAGGCAGGTGGAGGGGTTAGGGCCCATCAGGGAGGCAGACAAGTGGTTAGGAGCCAGTGGTCCCAGATTGTGAGAGGCAGTCGGACATCCCCTGAGGGGTCCCGGATTGGAGAGGGTGCAGGGACCCCCCTCCTCATGCACGAATTTCGCTCACTGAGTCTCTAGTACTCTCATAAAAATAAACAAAGGTTTAAAAATATCCAGTACTTGTTGTAGACTATTATTAAAACTGACTTGTTTTCATTGAATGCTTTGGCAATGTTGTGCTAATTGACTCATTGGGATTAATAAGCAAACATACCTACATTCCTTTAGTGTCTTTCTCCTCTGGTGCTCTCTTAAGTTTTGAGAGAAACTCAGCAGGCAGAATTAGTTTTCAGGTAGTTGAGGCTGCCTCATCCTCCTGTGCACATCTGCTGTGCTTGTATCTCTCAACTGTGGGCATGATTGGTCCTTTAATGAAAGTTATTGCACAAAAAGGATGAAGAGAAGAGGACACACGTGAGGAAAAGGGAGAGTCCAGTATTTAAAGGTGGGTTAAAACGAGAGAGGATGGGTAAAGAAGATAAACATGAACCTTTAAAAGGAATCAGGAAAAAGAAAGGAAGCAGAGATTCATGAGGACAGTAAGATGTATTGAAAAGGAGCAGAAGGTAAAGAAAGTAGCAAGAAAAAGTAGAGGGAGAAAGAACTGAGTTATAGTGATCGAATCTGCACATGTGCTGGCCTCAAAGGTCCTCACAGGCGTCAGCACTTTTCTTTTTCCAGTATTTGGAGTCCAACAAAGTAGCAAATGCCACAGGGTTAATTTCCTCTTCAGATGTGAGTCCTTGGGTTATAGTTCTGGATCAAGAACAGCTAGCAAATCTGACTTGTCTGTGGGTTCTGTGTGACTGAGGGACTAAGGTAATGTAAGAACTGAAGTCTATTCTTGAATATTTTTTAATTCTCAATCCAGTCCTAAGTCCTTCCCTCAACTGCTAGATCAGCCTTCCTAGCTATTTCCTGATTCAGACTCCAGGGTCTGAGCTTGAGCGATGAGCCATAGACATCTCACTTAGGTCTTCCTGGCCTACCATGAAGAGGAGCTGGAGGTAAAGCTCCCTGTGCACCTTCCCCGGACCCAGGCCCGCCTTCACCAGCCATAGACTGCAGGTTCTGAACATTGTCGAAAGACTGGCCTGCCGCCATGTTTGCCCGCGGATCAAAGCTCAAATGGTTATGGTGTACAGAGCCCAGGGTGAGACCCAACCTCAGCTCCACTTTTGTTTCATAGCAGTTTGTTTTCCTCGAAGGTACCCTTTACATTCTGCAGGCAAGTGTTTCAACACTTTGGCATAACCTGTCTCATGGTTATAGATCATGAAACAGAAGGTGCTTCTCCATTTTGGGAAATCACATACAGCTAAGAATAAACTCGTTCACTCAGAATAGATTTTGGGGCCTCACGAAACCTGGAAAAAACTGTTTCTCCGTGTCTTGTCGTTGATTGAAAATAGGACATCTAAGTCGAGGCTCAACTCATTTCCAAGTTTAGCTTAATTTAAAAAACACACAATACTGGTCTAAAAAAGTAAGGATTTTGTATCGTCTGAACACTGGCTAAATAACTTAGTTGATGAGACTTGGTGCTAATAAAGTTGAAGTTGCAGATTCCTTCTCAAAAAAACGTGTTTTTCTGGGTGCAGAGCTCAGTGGACCCTGTGAGGAGGATCAGAACCTTTTGACTCAAGAGACCCAGAGGTCTCTTAAGCTTTATGTTTTCCCATTGGAAGAGTTACCCCTGAATGTTCCCAGAGGGGAGAGCACGGGAGGAAGCACAGGGAGTTTCAGCTGGCCTGGGAGCACCTGCTGCCCCACTGTGTCCAGGACAGCCCTGTGCCCGGCCTCCTGGGCTGCTCCTGCTGGTGAGTGTGGAGAGAAAACGTGGCAGACTGCAGGAGAGGGTGTGCACTATGGCATCCCCCTCCCCGCGCCTGCCAGCTGGCCCTTCCTCTACAGACAGGGTCGGAGGTCTTAGGCTCTTCTGTAGAGTGATCAGGATTACACTGGAAAGGCATCCAGGCACCCAGACTCTTTTCTCATTATCTGCATCATTACTGCTTCCTCAAAGCACTAGCCTTTCCTCTACGTGTAGAGCAATCTGTTTAAGATGTGAATGTCCCCAAAATGCTTTCAAAATGTTTCACAGAAAGTGAGGGGAATGGTTACGGCTGTATAGAACTGGCCACATTTACTATGTGGCAAAGAAGTTTAATTTAATTACCTAGCTGTTTTGCTCAAATTGGAAGGAGGGAATGACAGGCACTTTGTGGTGTTCGGGAATAGACATCCGACTTCCATACTAAATGTCCTCCTGATTTCACTATGTCTAAAAGCTAATAGTTAGCTGTTGCCCCCCACTGGAGCCTTCATTAGACTAAGAAATATACTTAAGATAGGAGACTGAAAGAATATGGATGAAGTCAGGCAAATTTGTTGGAAAAATCGATTTAAGTAGATGCTGATTTGCAGAGGCCCTGTAAGATCCCTCAGGTGGGAAAGACATGACAGTATTTATGAACATCAATTATGTATATATTACCTCATTCATTCCCGAATATCCTGAAGTTATTATCTACAAAAGACTGTATTTTGTTCAAACTGCTGTAGTAAGATTATTTCCATTTGGGTTAGCATCTGCTCTCTTCTCCCAAAGAGTTTCCTTTAGTTATGGAAATTTAACAGTCCATGAAAAATAAAAAAATAAAAAGCTTTGTGGGCTTGTGAGTCAATAATTCTGAGTTTTATTTTACTGACTGTGAGAACTTTGATAAGGCACCTGATATCCTGGCGAGTTAGTTTCTACATATGAAAAAGGGTGAGGGAGGGGAGATGGAAAGACATCTTACATGCTGAAAAAAATATATTGTAAAGATTTTTAAAAGTCTAACATTCTAATGTTGGCAGTGTTTTAAATGTGGCATGCCATGAAGGCACGGGCAGGATGTATGCCAGACCTTCCATAATGGTAGAGATTTTTGGGCATTGACTACACTTCCTGTTGTCTGAATAGACATGGAGGCAATTACAGGAAAGTGGCTGGGAGCCCAGGACAGAGGAAATAAAGGGAAGGCACAGCCACAGCTACTCTGGCTTGGCGTTATACCATGTTGCCATCCTCTTGTCTTTATGAAACTAGAAGGGCCCTGGGGCAGCTGCCCAATAAACCTTAAATAATATCAAAAAGGTGAGTAGGAATAATGGGGATCTGGTAGGTGTGGTTAGTTAGAAGCTTGTGGTTAGTCAGATATTTGAGCAGCAATCTATAGACGTACCTCGGAGAGATTGTAGGTTCGGTTCCAGACCACCACAACAAAGTGAGTTGTAATTTTTTGCCGATGGAAGATTTTGCCTTTATTTTGTAAAAAAAAAAAAAAACCACACAACATCTGTGAAGCGCAATAAAGTGCCATAAAACACGGTATGCCTGTATGATTTTAATATTAAAGAGGAAGAATGATTTTTCACTGGGATGGGTGAAGGCTCTGCTCCGTTCAAGGGAGAGCCATTGTGGGTCCAGGGTAGAAGGTAGTAAGACATTAAAGAATTGTTAATGAAACACTTCCTGTGTGGGTGAAGGCTCATAAAAGCCTCTCTCCTGAGCTGGGGCATGTGCCAGCCTCAGGTAGATATGGGTGAGGCTGATTTTGCCACGATTAGCTGAGTTCGTTGAAAAAGAAAGCAAACGTGGTCTTATTGGTGGATCTGAGTCTGTAACCGAGTTACAGCTCAGCCGCAGTGAAGCGCTCCAGCGCTCCAGGGCGCACCAAATGCTGTGTATTCATTGAAGGTTCCTGTTTGTCTTTTCCAGCTTCTGCTTCCTGCTCCCGGTACCTAATTTCTGCTCCTGCCTTCCACTTTCCTCCTAATGTGAGCTCAACTTTCAGCCTTCTCTCAGGTTCTCCCTTCTAGTCCCTGGGCTGCACTCCTCTCCCACAGCGTGCCCCCTCTCTGTACGTACAGCGGAGGGGTGTTCTTTAGCCTTCCGTTCCACTTTAGCGGAATAATACCCATTTCCTCCTGTACCATGGGGAATTTGTCTCCTGCTCTGTCTTTACTAACTGGAATGAATACTTATTTTTCTAAGTCAAATGTTAAAAAAAAATTTAAAAAAATACAGAATCCACCCAGCAGCTAAAAAAAATTTTCAATCTGATAAATACATTTATCCTGTTATTTTCACATTATGTGAATTGTGAGTTGTACCAGCTCTCTTCAGTGGCTTCAACTGTACTATAATATTATACCGAATCATTCTGCATTTTAATGTATCTCCTGCTTGCTAGATAAGGGCCTAGTCCTTTTAGAGAAACCTAATTAAACTATTCAAGAACACCTCCACTGAGGCCCTATCTTGTTAGAAGTGTTCATAAGAAAAAAATAATTCAGAGCTCCAAACAATGCCTTAATTACTTCCAGTGGCATTCAGTATTGATCACATTTGAATACCTCCCTTATGCTTTGGTAAACTAGGTGGTAGCCTGTGGTCTTTGATTCTTTAAGTTTTTCTTTTTAGGACTGCACCCCTAGGAATGGAGGGGGGTTGTTATTAAGGAGCCATTTCCACTCAGTTTTGCTTCTTCATTCTTAAATACTTTGGTGCTATTTGGGAGTTTCCCGCTAATTTTATCAAACTCCTTTTACAGCTCTTCCCCTTTACTCCCATTTCATGCCCATTTTCTATTCTCATTTCCTGTGTCCAAATCTGCTTGAAAAACCATTCCTACTTTTTGCTTTACCTCCTAGTGAATCATGTGACTTGGGAACCAGCAATGTGAAATTTTTATGGGTCTATTTTCAGGGTGTTTTTTTTTAATCAAAATTCTCTCTTGTCCATACCTGGACTGTTTTAAGCTTACCTTAACCATTCATTTGCATTATTAACACCACCCTGGTCTTGGCAACAACGGGGCCACCCACGTGCCTGTGAGAGCCTCCTGGCCACCTTAACCTAAGCTGCTTCTGCATTTCCTGGTTGACGTGTTTCTGTTTGGGCAAGTGAAGGGTTACACACACCTAAGGCCTTGGAACCTTCACCCTTGGTGGCCATGTAACCATTTTTTATTATGTAAAAACTTAGTTTGGGAATTCTGGCTTTCATCAGTGCTTGAATACCAAGTATTTTATGCTTTTTAGGACTGAGTTTAAGAGCTAGAACACCTATGCTCATCCCACCCTATTCCACTCTTTTTTTACTTTTTTAAAAAAATTTTTTACAGAGAGGAAGGGAGAGGGACAGAGAGCCAGAAACATCAATGAGAGACACCGACCAGCTGCCTCCTGCACACCCCCGACTGGGGATGTGCCCGCAACCAAGGCACATGTTCCTGACTGGAATCGAACCTGGGACCTTTCAGTCCGAAGACTCTAGCCACTGAGCCAAACCGGTTCCGGCCCTATTCCACTCTTTACAAATAGTCCATGATTCTCATGAAGTCGGTTATGACTTCCCATTTTTTTAGTTTTATTCTCCATTGTTTTGTGTGGGGTATTTTTTAAGGTGTTAGAACTTATAGCTTTATTGGGCTATGCTTTCTTCTGGAGTCCTAATAAAATAGTTTGTGGCTCTTTTAAATTGTTCCACTTATGTGTCAGTTTTGACTTATTTTAAAAACATTATGCTTCGTGAATTGAGCAAGTCAAGATTCTAAGCAGAAGGTACTAAAAGATGCTTTATCAAAGCATCTTTTCCCAATTCCCAAAGCCAAATGCTCTTCCTCTCCCTGAAAATTTTCCCCTTCAGAAATTGTTCTTATAGAAAGTCTGTCCTATTTTTCCTTAGCTCTTGAATGAAACAATCACACTTCCTTCTTGTGTGTGATATTTTCTCCTAATTTCCTGTCTGCAGAAACATTTTGTATGTGCCATTTTGTGTGTTGTGGCCTGTCTAAGCCTTTCTCCTCAATCCAGCCCTAGACCCACCCATCCTCAGTGGCTGCTACACTCAGGGCAGCCAAACAGTCTGGGAAGGGGATTCAGGACAGCCTCTTGGCTTAAGAGAGCCAGCTGATACAATCACAGTGGACTTAATGTTCCCGTGAGAATGAATAGGCCGGGTGAGGGAGCCCTTAGATAGCAAAGTAAATTTCAGGGCCCATCTCAGCAGAGTCCTAACTCATCACTGCCTATGCTAAGTGATAGTTATCCTTTTCTTTTTCTAGAAGTTTCAGATACCTGCAAGAGAGACCTGTGTGGAATGTCAGAAGACAGTTTACCCGATGGAGCGTCTCTTGGCCAACCAGCAGGTGTTTCATGTCAGCTGCTTCCGTTGCTCCTATTGCAACAACAAACTTAGGTAAGTGAGACTAACGCAAGCCATCTCTCTGTATAGTTGGACCCCCCGGAAGGGAGTCTTTGGCTTTTAGAATGCTGATTACCAACAGCTATTGTGCTGATAGGATGCTGTTGAAGGCCCCTGAAAAAAGTAAAAAGTACTACTTAGTGATAAGTATTTTGTAACAAATGGTTGAGGTATTTGGAACTTCTTGGTGCATTGATATATTAATTTACATGTTAGGACTGAAGCTTAAATAATAGAGTGGCAGGTAAGACCCCCCCTATGACCTAATTCAATAGGATGTTTTCCCTTTGTGTCATAGAATCATAAAGTTAAGAAATTTCAGGAGGGTAATTATCTAATCTCTTACTTCAAACTGTCCTGAGCACTGTACAAATGGTAACAATAGCAATAATCATGGACCCGGAAGAGCATGTATTTTTCTGTATGTTGCTTTGTTTTCTCTCTGAGAAAAATAGTCATTATGAGTATCATTTCTTCCAAGTAACTCAAAGTGTGGATGGAAATGTGGCCAGCTGGGGGAATATTCCATATTAACTCATTGTAATTATGAAGCCAGGATGCCACCTCCTCCAACTTTCCTTCCAGAGCAAGCCTCCCTTCTAAAATGCCCTTGAAAGATGCTCTGGCATGCATGACAGCCAGTTCCAGCTCTCGCTCGACAGCATTCCTCTCACTGAGCCAGTGTGTGCCTTTCTAGCTTCTACTCATTGGTCCCTTTTTTCTCCCACTTCATTTTTTTTTTCTCTCCAAAGCACATTTTTTTCCTGAATTTTTGAATTTTTATATTCCCCTTTAAAATGTCTCACCCTGTGAGAGACACTAAATCTCCTGAAGGCCGGTCCAGCGTGTTAGACTTACTTCCCGGCAACTGCGCACTGTTCTCCTGTTCACTGTGTCCAGCCACTAGTACCTGTTGAGTGCCAGCTTTTTGCAGCACATTGTACCATTCCTGTAAAGACGTGCTTTTAAATTATAACACATGCCGAGACCGGTTTGGCTCAATGGATAGAGCGTCGGCTTGGGGACTGAAGGGTCCCGGGTTCGATTCCGGTCAAGGGCATGTACCTCGGTTGCGGGCATATCCCCAGTAGAGGGTGTGCAACAGGCAGCTGATCGATGACTCTCTCTCATCGATATTTCTAACTCTCTATCTCTCTCCCTTCCTCTCTGTACAAAATCAATAAAAATATATTTTAAAAAAAAATAAATAAAATAAATTATAACACAAATGAGAAACTAGGAAGAAGGAGATTCAACTTTTACAAAGGAATATCATTGTAAGTAGCTATAAGATGTAAATACTTGGGAAATACGTGAGTGATCAGAGTTCCTGGATAAAGTTCTGGGGTGTTTTTTTTTGTTTTTTTGTTTTTGTTTTTGTTTTGTTTTTTAACAGTTTTGACAAACAGTAAGGAAATCATTTGAAAATGAGAAAATGTACCAGGTAGAAAGATGTCTTGCAAAGGTTCAGGTCTGGAAGTGGTCATGTTTTTTTTATAAGGATAATAAAACTGTTGTGCTTTAAAAGAGTAGAGAGCCCAGCTGGTGTGGCTCAGTGGTTGAGCATCCACCTGTGAACCAGGAGGCGGTAACAGTTCAATTCCCGTTCAGGGCACATGCCTGGGTTGCTGGTTCAGTCCCAAGTAGGGGGCATGCAGAAGGCAGCTGATCAATGATTCTCTTTCATCACTGATGTTTTCTATCTCTCCCTCCCCCTTCCTCTCTGAAATTAATTTTTAAAAATGTTTTCAAAAGAGTAGAGAAAAAAAAATAAGTACACCTTATTGCTACAAAATATAAATAAATAAATAGAGTAGATAATCCTAGGTGATTGATGTGTTTTTATATTTTTCTCACTTGTCATCTTCTAAAAATACTGCAAATTAGATTTCAGCCTGCTGGTGTAAATAAGAACATACAGATTTGTTAACTCCATGCCCTTTTTCTTTTAACAACAGTCTTGGAACATATGCATCATTACATGGGAGAATCTATTGCAAGCCTCACTTCAATCAGCTCTTTAAATCTAAAGGCAACTATGATGAAGGCTTTGGGCACAGACCACACAAAGATCTCTGGTCAAGCAAAAATGAAAACGAGGAGACCCTGGAGAGACCAGCCCAGCTTCCGAATGCAGGAGAGACCCCTCAGAGTCCAGGGGTAGAAGATGCCCCCATTGCTAAGGTGGGTGTGCTCACCGCAAGTATGGAAGCCAAGGCCTCCTCTCAGCCAGAGAAAGAAGACAGGCCGGCTGAAACCAAGAAGTTAAGGATCGCCTGGCCGCCCCCCACTGAACTTGGCAGTTCGGGAAGTACATTGGAGGAAGGAATAAAAGTATCCAAGCCCAAGTGGCCTCCTGAGGATGAAGTCAGCAAGCCTGAAGCCCTGGAGGATGTAGATCTGGATCTGAAGAAGCTGAGGCGATCTTCTTCACTAAAGGAAAGAAGCCGCCCATTCACTGTAGCAGCTTCATTTCGAACCACTTCCGTCAAGAGCCCCAAATCCTTGTCCCCACCTTTCAGGAAGGGCTGGAGCATGTCAGAGCAGAGTGAGGAGTGTGTAGGAGGAATAGCAGCAGGAAGGAAGCAAGTGGAAAATGCCGATGCCTCTGAGAAGGATGGGAGCATGGGAAAAACAACCTGGCAAAACAAGGAATCTGAAGGAGAGGAGACCGGGAAGAGGAGGAGTAAGGAAGCTTATGGTTTTGAGATGGGGAGTGAGACTCTTGTAGAAAACGGTGCAAACTTAGATGAAGATGATAGAAACCTTTTCAAACAGCAGTCTCCACTGGAGCCCAAGTCTCCAAATTGGTCCGGCTTTGCAGACAACACCTCTCCTAAAGAATTCACTACTCAGAATGAGAAGTCCCAGGATGTGGGATTCTGGGAGGGAGACGTAGTCAAAGAGCTGTCTGTGGAGGAGCAGATAAAGAGAAATCGGTACTATGATGAGGATGAGGATGAGGAATGATAAACTGCTACGGTGCTGGGCCTTATCTTGTGCTAGTGTTAGTGAGCCACTGCCCTTTATCAGAGTGATGTACGTATACAGTTATCTTAGCATAAACTGTAATTTATGTGGAAGTCATTTGGGGAAAACAGTTCTTGCTTCAAAAATAAATTTAAAAATCCCATACTGCAGCTTATCTCTAAAAGCTAGAGATAACATTACCTAAATCCTCTATTGTAGCCATGATAATATACATAAGTGCTTTAAGGCCTTATAAAAGAGAAGGGGAATATTCCAACTGATATAGTCCAGATTCCACTGTATTCCCCGAAAGGCAATATGAAATAGATAGATGATTAGTATAGAACATTGTTACACTAAAAATTGAATCATTCAGAGGGATTTAGGGGCCTAAACAATATTACTGTATGCACTTTAGTATAAAGGGCACAGTTTGTATATTTTTAAATGAATACCAATTATTTAGTATTCAACTGTTAAGAAATCAAATATTTAGTCTTCTTTTAAAAAATTTTTTAGGTTAACTACTTTGCTCAGATATATATGGGGGATTTATTGTTTTGCATTCCTGCTCTTTAAACCACACCCTAAACTGAATTCTTGAGATATAACACAAAATCTTTTTCTGAAACACCTTTAAGCACCTTGGGTGCTCAGAGAGATCCACTGTCTCCCAAGTAAACTATAGTATTTGCCAATAAGTGTGACTATACCCCCAAGTGATTGCTTTCTTCTCTGGTGGTATCTGTGCTCCTCATAATTTGCTAAAAGATACAATATTTTATTAATATCTTTTATATTACTGTTTGCCATGTTTGATGTTACAGCAAAATGAGTTTAAAGAAGGAATAACAGTGTGTGTGTGGGGGGGGGGGCGGTGGACTGCCTTAAACCACTTGAGCTCAGACCCCAAACCATATATTTCACTTCAGATCCCCTTTCTGGGACACTAAGTTTTTAATTCCTATCAGCTCTGGAATGTATTGATTTTTATGGCAGACAGTATTCCCAGGGTGCAATTAAACCAATTATAGGCTTTTGTATGTATGTGTGGGTGTGTGTGTGTGTGTAGGGATGATAGGGGGAGGAGGGGGGAAGGGGGTCCTAGTGTTATGTCTTTGGAACATTATAAGCTTGAGTACATTTGTTGTACATAATTGATATTCCAAATTATATGTGGTGAAGGGAGGCGTTTTAAGCTATAGGCTTTTCTTTGTACTGCATTTCTAGAGATTTAGCTCTAATATTTTTTAGAGATGTAAAATGTTCTGCTTTCTTACAGTCTTGCTTCATCTGAAACATTTTTACTCAATAAAGCTTTAAATTTACATTTGAACTTTTCAATGTCCCTTTTTCATTATTATTTTTTTACATTGTTACAGACTCTCAGGGTCTACTGTTACCTTAGCAGTTTGGAAAGAAAAATATCTGATGTGGGTTTAAGTGAAGTGCTATTAATATACCTTACCACTAGGTGGTAGTGTTGGGATGATTTTGGGGGCTTTCATTATAAAGATAGGCAAATTTTTCTTGAAAATTGAAAGCAACTTGGCAAGAGAATTAATGTGTACATTCAAAATGAACTGTTTGTTTTACCAATTAAGAATGTAATGGTGGGTTGTTATTTTAATTGTACTCAACATTTAATAATTTACCTTACAATTAGGCCTAAAATGCCAAATGGAATTTCCAAATGCCTCTGCTGAAAATGGACTTGTTTACCTCTCTGAGCAAAGGCATAGTTGGTTGTTTGATTTCCTTGCCTGCACAGGCAATCAACCCAATTGTTAAAGCACTTTTTTTTAATGGGAAGTGTGGATTTTCTTGGAGAGAGGCATGTTATGTTTTTCAGAGGTGCTGTGCGTTTCAGGGTTTTACCTGATTTTCTAACTACTTTTTGCTCTTGTTCCACCATAAGCTAAAGTCGGTTAGAAAGTCTTGTTCACTGAACAGTTATCCAGAAGCTCCTATTGACCTTCATAAAATATCCAATCCTGGCTTCAGTTTATCTACTCTTTCTGTGACACACTGCTACTCTAACCTATCTACATGATACAATATCTCTTGACTTTATACAATAAAGTCTGAGTGCTTATGGCTGGCATTTATGGTTATCATTTGAGTATGTCACCATATATCAGGTACATGGGCACTGAGATTACACTTAGAACCCTTTTCAATGCCTTTCAAGGGCTAATGTAGACATAGATATTAAAAAGTAGAAACAAGGACTAGCTCCGTAATCAGTATAATAAAAGAGTCATTTTAAGAGAATGACCAGATAAACATTCTTAGAAAAAACAATAAACATTCTTAGAAAAACAAAAATGACAGCCAAATAAAAAGTGTTTATTGTTTATTCTTTCAGTTCTCCTGAATGAAGGCAACTTGTTTGGATTGATATGTTGATGGTGGCAATAAGCTGTTTCTCATTTGGTGAAATGGGAAAAGGAGACTCTTAAACACTGCGTGCTGGTGCGATCACTTCTGGCCAAAGCTTTCATTACATATTTCATGAGCAATAAGTTTTGTAACAGCCAAGAGGTTGAGAAATGGTACAAATGTGTTTTTCTGGGGGTAGATCATTTTGCATATATATGTATATATATGGTTGTATTTTTTTAAAAGGGGTAGAGGGAGAGAGAAATACTGATGTGGGAAACATTGATCAGTTGCCTGCTGCACACACCACCACTGGGGATCAAACCTGCAACCTGGGCATGTGCCCTGACTGGGAATTGAACCTGCAATTCTTTAGTGCATGGGACCACGCTCAACCAACAGAGCCACACGAGCTAGGTAGGGCTTGGGATAGGTCTTGAGACCAAGATCATTGTGTGTTCCTGCATGCCAACTTAGCATGTTCTCTGTTCCCTGGGGCTCTGATTTGAATTATCATAGGATCATGGAGGATTTACGTCTTTTAAAATGTATCTTGAATATAGATAGGGTAGTTACCATAAGCTATTGTTGGGTTTGGAGAAAAATGGTTTCAGGCAGTGCTTCTCAGACCAGCAGCAAAGTCATCACCTATGAGTTTTTTAGAAATTAGAAACGCATATTCATTGGCCCTACCCTGAACCTCCCGAATTAATCTCTTCGGAACAAGCTAATGTCTGAGCTGGGGTGCACTAAAGTTTGAAAATCACTGAGTTAAAGCAAACCTAATGTACTCCTTAGAATGGCTGGAGTTTTGTTTTTTCCTTTTCTCTCTTTAAAACCCTTTAACTGCTGCCATGCTAGTTAGAGTTACTTTATCTGTCCTTAGATGAGAGTAGAGATTTAGATTTTTAACTTCTTTTAAAACCATTCCAGTTAGCCTCTGATGGTGGAGAAGGGTAGGCGGGACCAGCTCAGATGAGAGCGGGGAGTAGAGAGATGAGTACAGCTGGGAACGGGAACAGCTTTGAGTGGCCTGGGCCGAGAAAAAGGAATGTCCCTATTACGGAGCTAGCCCCGAAATAAAGGGTGTGGCAGTAGGTGGACAGGCAAAAGAAGCGAGGCCGAAACTGATAGGAAAAAAAAAAAAGGACGGGACTAGTGTTCTGAGGCCAGTGGGGGTGGGACCAAGGCTGGGGAGGCGGGGCTGGATGGGGCGTGGCTGGGGCGGGGCCGAGGGAGGCGAGGCGGGGCTGGATGAGGAGCGGGGCGGGGCTGGATGAGGAGCGGGGCGGGGCTGGATGAGGGGCGGGGCTCGGTGTGGGGGCGGGGCCTAGGAAGAGCTGGATGAGGGGCGTGGTTAGGGGTGGGACGGGGCTGAGGGAGGCTCGGGAAGGGGTGTGGCCAGCCTGGAGGGCGGGGTCCACCACGAAGTCCGAGGCATCCGCGGTGAGCGAGGTGGGCGGGGAGGCGAGAGGGGCGTTGGAGAGGCCCGGCTCCGCGGAGGAGGCTCGGGAAGGGGTGTGACCAAGGCTGAGACGTGCGGGGAACCAGAAGGGGCCGGAAGGGGGCGGCCACCGGCCCGGCCCCGCCCTCCCTTCCCCCCCCCCCCCCCCGGGCCGCCTCCCCGCGGGTTCCGTTGGCTGTGGCGGCGGCTGAGGCTGCGGCGGCCGCGGGGCGGGCGTAAGATGGCGACCGCGGCGGCGGGCGCCCTGGGCCTGCTGTGGGGCTGGCTGTGGAGCGAGCGCTTCTGGCTGCCCCAGAACGTGAGCTGGGCCGACCTCGAGGGGCCGGGCGACGGCTACGGCTACCCCCGGGCCCGGCACATCCTGTCGGTGTTCCCGCTGGCGGCGGGCGTGTTCTCCGTGCGGCTGCTCTTCGAGCGGTGAGAGCCGGCGAGCGGGCGGCACGGGCGCCGGCCGGGGGCGCGGGCCGGGGGCGCCGGGGGCCGGAAGCAGAGCTGCGGGCAGAGCCCGGAAGCAGGGGCTGGGAGAGGGGTGCCGGGGGAGCCCGGGCTCCGCGCGGGATGCGCGGAGGGTGGCGAGGTGGCCCGGGAGCCTTGGCAGAGTCAGGAGGCTTGGGGCGTGGACCATGGTAGAGTGAGAGCGGGGAGGATGCTGGGCCCATTCAATTTCAGGTTCCAGAGGCCTGGTGGGGGGGGGGGGGGGGTCCTCCCAGCCTCCACGGATTCTCCGGAACTGGCTGAGTGTGAGCTGCGGCCGAGAACCCGAAGCGAAGAACAGGAAAAGGGCCACGGGAGCCCGAGCTAGTTGGGGCGATGCAAGCTGAAGGGTCAGCGCTAGAGCCAGACGTTCTGGCAGAAGGAGGCGGGTTCATGGGGATCTAAGATTTGCGAGGATGCTTTAGTTGGCGGGAGCTGGATTATTTAGGCCCTACATGTCGGTCTGTCAGCTCTTGGACATGTGCTTGTGTTTCAATAAAATTCCACCAGGGCCCGTAAGAGAGTAGGGTGTGGTGGAGCCGGAGGCTTCCAAAATGTGGAAAGTTGTCAGCTAGTTGCTGATGGGGCCTTGGAGGCCAGCGATGCAAGGGGGAGTGGTCATCTTGAAGGGATGGAGAGCCCGTAGGGCTTATGAGAGAAAACTGCTGTGTTGAGAGTGTAGCAGAATCACAACCTCTTTGTTAGGCCGTGTTTTTGGAAAAATGATTTCACCTTTCTTTGAGTGACTGGATTGTCTCTTAACTGTCAAAGCTCTTCAATGAGAACTTGATGTGGTGATTTTATTATATAAGGTGGGTGATATTTTATTATACAGCTGTGGGTGATTTTGATCAAGTCTACTCAGACTCTGGAAAGGAGACTTCTTTCCACTAGGTTTCTGGTAATGAAGGTGGCACTTGGACACCTTTTGTTCACTTGGGCTTTATATAGAACATGAATGCCCTTTCTGGGATGCCATAGATAAAATAATCTGTTAGTCTCTGAAAAATTAGTGTTATCTGTTTGATTTGCCTACTAATGACACAAAATCTTTCAAAAGTATTTGCTATGCAGCTAGCTAGTCATTAATTCATTTATTCATAGTGTTTGTATGTTATCATCAAAGTGTTCTGCTAGATTTCAAGTGCAAAATATGATGCTTTTAAAAAATGTTTTTATTGATTTCAGAGAGAGGAAGGGAGAGAAAGAGGGAGAGAAACATCAATGATGAGAGAGAATCATCTATCAGTTGCCTCCTGCACGCCTGTCACTGGGGACCAAGGACTGAGTTGGAAAACCTGGCAGGTACCCTGACCAAGAATGGAACCGTGATCCTCTGGTTCATGGGTCATCGATCAACCATTGAGTCACACCAGCTAGGCTGATGCTTTTTTTTTTTTTTTTTTAATATATTTTATTGATTTTGTACAGAGAGGAAGGGAGAGAGATAGAGAGTTAGAAACATCGATGAGAGAGAGTCATCGATCAGCTGCCTCTTGCACACCCCCTACTGGGGATATGTCCGCAACCAAGGTACATGCCCTTGACCGGAATCGAACCCGGGACCCTTCAGTCCCCAAGCCGACGCTCTATCCATTGAGCCAAACCGGTCTCGGCTAGGCTGATGCTTTTTAATTGTTGCAAATGAAGCCCAGTTGCCTTTTATGGGTCTTCGGAACTTAGTGCTGCAGTTTTTAAAGTATAGTCATTTTATAAATGTTATTGGGATGGAGATACAAACCATTTATCTCTCTTAGGATCAGGTTAGTATGTATATGAAGGCTGAAAAAAGAGGAAGACAATGTAATGACTAAGAAGGAAAATACATAATTCAAAACCTGCCAAAAAAATTCTTTGTCCTAAGAAAAGATTCTGTGCTTCTTACATAAATATATACCAATATGGAAATATCTCCACATTAGTGGCAAGAGGAAATAGCTTGTTGCTTCTAAACACCCATTTTATATAAACTTACATATCTTCAGCTTTCCATAAAGTTGCCCCAGGTGGCTGAAGACTCTTCTGGCAGAGCCACTGGAAAAGATCCTTTACCTGTGGGAATTCTATCTGAATGTTTCTATGGCGCTCCAGTGTCAGGAGAGTAGGGGTGGACGGGAATACTGAGCTGAAAGCATTCTAGTATGATATTTCTTGGCTAGCATAGATCAGTACTTTGTTCATCTCATGTTTGATCTTAGGAAAGTTTAACCCTAGAAGCAGTCTTGCTATTTTGTTTCTCTTTTAAGACAATACTTCAGCAATAAAACTGACTGCTTGATTACCAGTTCCTCTAATTGCTCTGGTCTTTCATAAAGGTAATAAATAGAAGCCATTCTTATTGAGTATAGAAAAAAGATATACCAGAAATATTGGTTGTGTCATTTTTCCTACATTTTCTCATTTCTCAAATCCTACCTACTTAGTTTTTAGAAGCAGTTCTGTAGTTATCATAAATTATAAGAGTTAGAATTCCAACCGCCTTTTACAGATAAAATATGGCCACTTTTCAGAGGTTGCATATTCTTCTGAGGGAAGAGCTAGAACCAAGATGTAGATCATTCCCCCAGCCCAGGGCTCTTGCCACTGTGTGTGTATAATGTGGCCATCTTTTCCTGTTCCTTCACCACCTTTCAAGGGTTAAGATTTAAACTCCTGGCTCCTGGTATTCTAAGATTTGGAGAACAAATTCATGCTCATCTTATTCTTCATTATTTAATATAATGTGTTTGACTTGAATTTTGCTATTTTTTAATTGTTCTGCTATTTTAATGAACCTTACACTATAACCCCTGATAAGTTATCTCTATTTGTGTTGTTTTAAGAATCTCCCAAAGAATAAATATAGAGTTTACAATCTGTTCTCACTTTCTCTTCCTTGTCATCAACCACAGTGAGTATTTTATTTTTTTAAGTTCCTACATTCCCTGGTGAACTGCAGCCCATCTGGTAAAGATGACTTGAAAAGCTACTCGACCATTTATGTAAAGTGTTTATTCCTAGCTAACTATTTTGTTGAAGAATTACAGGTAGGAGGGAATTACCTACCAAAGAACAAGAGGCTTCCCGGTGTGGGCCTCTGTTGACTGGTTGCATTGTTATGGCCCAGTACCTTGCAAAAATGCCTTGGGTGTAGCATGTGGTCAGTAAATACTTTTTGATAGTTTGAGAAGGGCCCACCCTCATCTACTCATTTGCCCAGAGGAGTAACTGGAATCTAAATCTTCAATCTGAAATAGATGTTTGGCTTAAGAGAGGCAAAACTATAATTCCTTTGTTTCTATTGTTAAAGTTCACTATACTATATTTGCATGTTGTGTACCTTTCTACATATTCTCTTTCTCCTCTCTCCCCCGATACACAAATTCATGTTACCCTGGACCTATTAAAAGAGAGATAAACTTTTCCACCTGTTTTTTTAAACTTATTTTAATATTATGTTAATGGTTGAGATCTGAAGGAAAGAGTGGTTCAAACTAGGTCTGCTATGTCTTCCTTAAATTAGATCTTAAAGATAAATTGTTTGATTTTTAATATCTAGTCCCATGAGCACTAGTTATAATATCTTTTTCCTTGGGATTAAGTAGGAGCCTGATTCTTAATATTGACACCATCAGAGATATATAGGCTCATTATTGAATATGATACTGCAATAGGAGCTTTATGTTGCCAGAAGAAAATTTTATGAATTATGCAGGAGGTAGATTAAAACTCTCCTTGCTGCTCATTCATTATTCCAATCCCCTCTTCTCTCCTGTTACTTCCTAGGCAACCTCAGTAGGCTGTCTAAAGAGCCTTCTCAATATCGTTCTGACTGGGGACTGAACATACTCACTTGCTGGCCATCATGTAACTGGCAACAAAGAGTAGTGACTCTGTGTGTTTGTGTGTGTGCGTATGTGTACTTTCTTAACCACTCATTTCATCTTCCTCTTGTAAACCTTGCTACCTCTGCTGTATACTGCCTTTGTGTTCCTGTTCTCCCCCACTTCCCCTAAGAAAAGGATGAACTTTTTTTTTCCTCTTTCCGGCAGACCTGCTGTCCCCTCTTAGAACCATAGCATGCCACAGCATTGTGACCAGTGTTAGAGAAGAGAGGCTTTGGGAAGAATGGACTTAGCTGCTGACTAGGCTGGAAGGCAGGCTGCCAATTCCACTGCATCCCTAAAGGTGTTCTGTTGGGTGTTATTGAATTGTAAATCACAATTAAATCAGGTTTGCAGATCCAGCAGAGCGAGATTGAAAAAATGGTCACATGACCCTGGTCTTATCTAAGTATCCACCTCTTAATAAGCTCCAGATGGTCAAAAGCCTAAGTGTTCCTCCTCTCTATGGGAAAACTTCTTTCCCAAGCCCTTTCTGGGTAGTGGGTATTGATGCTCTGCAGATAACCCTAAATACTGTCATGCATGAGGTCAGGTTCCTGGCTTATCCCTAGAGACAGTGTATTCGCCACTGAAAAGAAATGTGCTGCATGTTTTTGCTTTAGCCACTTCCTGAGTCAGAAAACTAGTGTTTCTTTAAGAAGAAATTCATGAAGGAAGAGACAGCAAATGAAATCTGTACACACACCCCTCCCTCATAGAGCGGGAACGGAGAAATAATAACCTATTTTGACTTCCTTCTCAGGGGTATTTTTAGGCAAATAAATGCTGCTTTCTAAAGAATTCACTAAGTTATGAGCTTTTTATACTCAATCCACTTCAATTTAATTGAGGTGTTACTGCAAAAGGAGTTAACCATAATCACTTCTAATTTTTTAAAAATCTAAAACTAGTTTCCTTAGGAATGAAGGCAGTTTTTCTAGCTGTGAAGGAGAATTCTCTCTGAATCACCTAGGATTGTGCTGTACAGTATAGTAGTTAGTTGGTACAGTAGTTAGTTAGTACAGTGGTTAGTACAATAGCTGCTAGCTTTTTGGCATTTCAGATGTGACAAGACATCTG